AGTTTGTTTCCATTTTATTTGTTTGTTGATACAAATTATGATATATATGCAGAGAAACACAAGTTACAAAAGTCATTGCTTGGCCTTGAAAAGATTTCAGTTAACTTCATAAGCTTAACCCAATGCCGCTGGGTATGACGTGTACGTACGTGCTATGCCCACTGTGAGTACTTGTTTGATTGTTTTTACACATAGATGGCAACACTTGTACTAACTCCCCAATGAGCCAACTACGAGTACAGCCCGTCTCGCTGTACTCGTTTACCATTTACCCGTTTCTTTGATTTACAAAATATTCTACGTTATCTTATTTTGCTGTTACTAATGTTAAAAAACATTATAAAAATTATAATGTTTATGATAAAAATAACACCATCGATTTTCGTAGCACTAGTGAAAAATACGTTTTTCCCGCCATTTCAAATCAGGCGCTAGCAGAGCCATCTATCAGCAGACATTTCACGAAAAAACATAGAAAGTGGGCACAGCATTTTCCCCATTTTTTGTTCATTTTCCCCGGCGGCATTGGGTGAAGGAAATATAATTGCTCTATGCTTTTTCATTTACACTTATATTTATCTCCATTTCTCAAAATGGTTTAGTACCTCCACCTGCTCTCATATCCCTATTCAAGTTTTCTAATATTACATTTTTCCCACACCTCAAAAGGTCCTCAACCATGCAGGAAATCTTGGAGATGCTTGCAATCTTGCTAGCGTCGCAGCCCTTCGCCACTTCCACAGACCAGATGTTACTGTGGAAGAGGATGGCAGAGTAACAATCCACACCCTGGAGGAACGAGAACCCATACCAACCTTCATGAAGAAAGTTCCTGTCTGCCTGACTTATGCCTTCTTTATGGTGGATGAGAAATGCCATATGCTAATGGATCCTTCAGATTTGGAAGAGAGAGTAAGTCTTACTTTTAGTTGGTACTTACTGTAGATTATTTTAGTTTGCATAGATGCCACCTTTGAATTTATATACACTAGAAGTAATGTTATAGGTACCTCAAGTAAAATGATCATTACATATGACATTACTAGTGAGAGCTTGAGTCAGTCTCAAGAAGTGATGCTTGTAAAGTAATATATGGTAACAAAAGCAAATATGCCAAAACATATGCCTATTACATAAAATGCCTATTGCATTTAATGCAGTAGGCATATAGCTTTTCATGCATATTTTTGTTATAAATTGCAAAAATACCTATAATAGAAATGCATAACCCAAAGGCAAACTTCAAGGCTCAGTATTTTTTACAGATGCATTCAGAGATACACTACCATAACCATGTTGAGATTGATAGGATGTGACAAACAATAACTAATTTATTTTTTTTTTTTTTTTTAACAGGTGATGTCTGGCAAACTAATTGTAGGCCTTAACCCACACGGTGAGATTACATCCATGATGTTTCCTGGTAGAGTTGCACTTCAAAAACGTGAAATCATGAACTGCATTCAGAATGCTTTCTCAAAGGCCAAGGCATCAGCTGAGATGATTGCTAGGGTGGTCGATGATGATGTGATGAAAA